GGGGGGGGGGGGGGGGGATCTAGTGGCAGGGTGAAGGAACGGGAAAGATCTCTACGTTACCCTGTTGTCCCTAATGCATCTAACTTTTGATGCGAATTTGGACACGATTTCTTGAATTTCTGACGTGTAATATGTATTTAGAAACTGAATGAAAAGTAGTATAGATCAAAACATTTTTATAGTTAAAATCCTAATGTGAGTGACTTAGACTGTTTTATTGCTATCACCAGGATAGATTGTTGTCATCCTATTACATTAGTACAAATCCTTAGGTTAGTGAATGTTTTCATGGCTGAAGGTGTCAAAGGAGCGGGTTGGACCAATTTCGACGTGTTAAAATGAGTAAATCAATGATCAGATCATTATATAACATACTCTTTTTGTTATTTTTTCCTTTCCTGTTCTTGGCATTTCACAGAAATAGGAAGAGATCATTGTGCCTTGAGTCATATAGTGCTACACTTGAGGTCTTAAGTAGACATTTGCTTCTCCTTTAGATGAATAGATATATTGTTAGTAATTATTTATTGGTTGTTTAATCCCTGTGCCTTGTCTAGCTTGATCATAATAGCTCTGTTTTTCTTTTACAGTCATGATGATTTAGTTTTGTCCAAATGGATTTTTCAGGATGGGAGCACGGAGAACAATGCATACGTTCGTACCTAGTAATTCAGCACCTTCATACCAGGCAAAGAATGCTCGAGGTTTCCGAAATTTGATGAGTGATCAACTTGGCGGTGTTGTATTCGGCTGCACAAGTACTACAATGAAAGAATGTCTTGAAAAGCAACTATTTGGTCAGTTATTCGGCCCTAATATGTTGGCCTTTGAAAAAGAAAAATTAAGACAATTGTGTGCAGAGGCATAATATACGTTTGAGCACAGTTTTTAATGTCTTTTAACTATCATGTGAGAGTTGATTATTACTTTATTTACTTGTTTCATTTTGTCATCCTTTACTCAATTATAAGCATTTAAAATCTTTGACAGGTTTGCCTGTTGAACACTTTTTATATGTGAAAAATGTACATCCTGGTTTGCCACTGTTCTTGTTCAACTACAACGATAGGAAGATCCATGGAATCTTCGAGGCAGTAAGCTCTGGTCAAATGCATATCAATCCATATGCTTGGACATCAAATGGTTATGAAAAAACACGATATCCTGCACAGGTTTTATATCATGTTTTCTTCTTAGCTTTATCTGCTTTTATTGATGCTTGCCGGGCAATATCCTAGGAAAGATTCTTTTACTGAAATTTTGCTGTTTCTTTTGAAGGTTCAGATACGTGTCCGTCTACAGTGTCAACCACTGCAAGAAAATCAGTTTAAACCAATAATATTGGATAACTATTATACTCAGAACCATTTCTGGTTTGAACTAGATCATGCTCAATCTAATAAATTGATCTCCAAACTGGCATCTCTTGCAATTGCTCCAAGTAAAACACTGTATAACTCAGCAAACTGGGGAAGTATAATCCAAGATCTACCTGAAAACGACAAGATAGCGGATAATGGATCTTTTGAGCCACAAGACTTGGAAAGTAAGTCGTCCAGTTCCGTTGATGTGAACAGGAAGTTCGGTGCCGGAGACATTTCTCCTTGTTCAAATGGTAGTGATCTGCAGTTCGAGGCACCGCTTGATTTTCAAGCTGCACTAGATGAGAAGGATTTTATATACAAGAAACTTAAAGAATTAGTTCTTGAGCGTGAATGTTCAGGGGCCCCTACAAATGGACATGCAGAGGAAAGAACCAACGCAACGCTAGGTAACACTGTAAATGATGTAAGCATTGGCAAAGCAGCTTTTCGGAAAGCACAGCTTCCTGGAGAAGGGAAGAATGAAGAAAGTTCTTGTGACTCGACTGGTTATCCTTCTTTTATAGTTCAGGTTCTTCATCTTCGCGTAATATGTGCTTCTTTTCATCATCCATGACAGCATTTCTGTTGAACATTTGTTCTATGTGACTCAGCTCTCTCTCTTATTGTAGCTGCTTCAAGGAATGGAGAAACTAAAAGCTTTTAACGAAGAGCAAAATAAAAAGATGGGTGGTCTGGAGCAGAAGCTGGTAAAACCTTATCTTTTTGCAATCTCAGTTTTATGGTGACAAATCTGTTCCACGCTAAAATCACTTTTTCAGTGGTCTAGGCTAGAGAATTTTCTATATTTAAGACATCTTGGAAGAATGGTAAAAAAATATAGACATTTTCCTCTTTCCTTTTGTTTTATGTCTGCTTGGAGAGGGGGATCAGGGTGTTGGAATGAAAACTGCAACAAAAAATTTTCTTATGTCAAAAGAATCCATAGGTGATATAAAGGAATTATGCAACACGATCAGGACTGTCAGAGATCATTAGTAGGTAGTCATCCAAACAAGATAAACAAACTTGAAAAGGAACTTGATATTTTTTCATATTGCATATGGTGTCTGTTCTGTATCTACATGAATCAAGGATTTTTTCAGCTCCATACATACTTGAATTTATGCTGCATCTGCAGTAGAAGTGATCAAGTGAAAACCAGATAATCATAGTGTTTTTACCCTTTCTTATTCCCTTGTCTCCCCATGGAATGTAGGCTGATGTACAAGAAGAAATTAAACTGTTAAAAACTAGATGCTTGATGTTGGAGTCCTCAAATCCTTCTCGTACACATGCTGGTGAAAATGTGGTTGAGTCAGATGATGTAGCACATCTGAATGATGAGTCAATCATCCTAGCTGGAGGATATGATGGTGTATCGTGGTTATCGGCCTTCGACTCATACTCGCCTTTAAATGATGTTTTAAAGTCGCTTAAGCCAATGAATTCTGTTCGATCATTTTCTGCACTTGCAAAGCTGAGTAGAGAACTTTATGTATTTGGTGGCAGATGTGGAAGCTTGTGGTGCGACGGAGGTAATGCTAGTAGTGCCTTCCTTCACATACCCTCCTTTCCCCACCCCCTTTCTCTTAAGTTGCTGATACTGATGACAATCTATTGTTGTGAAGTTGAATCATATAACCCAGCTGATAACAAGTGGACCGTGCACCCTTGTTTGAATGAGAAAAAAGGTAGCTTATCCGGAGCTACTTTAAAAGACAAGATCTTTGCAATTGGCGGTGGAAATGGGACTGAAAGCTTTTCACAAGTTGAAATGTATGATCCTCAAGTAGGTCGATGGATTTCTACACGATCCATGTGGCAGAAGGTTAATTCTATTCCTTGCTTACTCCAGTAGTGATAGTTTGAATTTGAACGGGACAAGGAGCATGTGAAAAAAGCTGACATTGGTGCTCAGTTTGGCAACAGTAAAAGTAAATTGCAATGAGAGCTTATGTGCATTACCCTTGGATATCCTGTCTTTGGTGCGGTTGCTTATCTTCATTTTTCCATGGAAGTTCTTTTGTCTCTACTTTATTCAGTCCTTTAGTAGTATTCAGGTAATATGAAGAAATAAACAAGTGAGGAAACCTTAAAGAGTTGAGGGGAAGAATTGCAAAATGAAATGATGTGTTGTTTAGCAATAATTTACTACAGTGGCCTACTGAATTCGTCTCACTACTAGCTAACTAGAGACAATATGTTGTCTCTTTCTTGTCCTTGCCTACAGTCGGGGCTTCCATTTGCTTCTTTTTCTTTTTATTGTTGGACTATGTTTCTTAAGTAGCGTCCATTTGTATCTCCATTTTCTTGCTACAAGTGCTAATCTATCTCCTCTTGACATAAATTTCTACCATGCATGTACATCTGCAGCGATTTGCTCTTGCCGCAGCAGAACTCAATGGTGCATTATATGCTGTTGGTGGATTTGATGGAAGCAATTATTTGGCGTAAGTTATTGCTTAATTGCTGTTCTTTTCTTTCTATATAATGAATGCACCAAAGAAGCTTGACATTCGGGCCTCATTTTCTCCAATCATTGAATTGTAATTCTCCTTGATCTTTCTTGAGAAAGGAAAGTTGCTTGTAGTTTTCCAACCTGTGGTCCTTTTTGGTGCTAACTGCATCAAGATGTTCCTATAGAAATCTGTAACAGCTCTTTTATTTCATTAAACTGCATACGTGAAAGTAGTAGAGTCTATTTTTAGTTTTCTGCTTTGTTCTTTTGTAGCATCTTTCTTATTAGCTATTACCTCAGGACTGCTGAAAGATTTGACCCCAGAGAACATTCTTGGACAAAAATTGAAAATATGAGCACGAAAAGAGGATCTCATGCGTTGGTTGCTTTGATGGGAAAGTTGTATGTTGTCCTTTTATCACATCTTTGGATCGTATATCTTTGGTTCTGTATTATGTCCTCAAGAGTCCCTAGCCATTGTCCACAACCTGTCCCATTTATAATTTGGGATGAATTTGATCTTCTTGTTATTCACTTTTAGCTTCATGATTGCTCTTCAGATATGCACTTGGTGGGCATGACGGGTATCAAATGGTGCCAAGCATTGAGATATATGATCCCCGTCGTGGGACATGGACGATTGGAGAAGCAATGAACTACTCTAGGGGGTATTCAGCTGCTGCTGTACTAAAGGAGTCCATTTATGTAATTGGAGGGGTTAAATCTGATAATGAAATAATAGACACGGTATATAGTTAGTTATTTCATTGTTTTTCTTATGCTTTGTTTCCATTATATACAAAAAGTCGACCCTCCTTTTTGTGATTGCAGATTGAATGTTATAAGGAGGGTCAAGGTTGGCAAACAACCACCTCGAGGGCTGTCGGGAAAAGGTGTTTTTCCTCTGCTGTAGCTTTGGAGGAATGCTGAACTATGCCCTGTCTTGTCTTGGGCACCCGTTTTTCAACAAGGTCACTATCTGCTCATGTTTTAACTACAACTAATAGTGTTAATTCTTGACAACATTACAAAGTAATTAGAGAAGTGGTTTCATTCCTTAACTTCTATTCTCAGTATAGAAAACAGAAAAATGGTCAAAACTCATAGCCAATGTATGGTATAGTTTGAAGAAGTATCACTGTAAGACAGTTTTCTGCAGCTTTTTGTCTAAGGAAAAACATGTGCACAACACTTAATTGTTTTTTGCACTATTAAAATTTGTTGTCTAGCATAATAAAATCAGGGTAAAGAATTGGGTTTTAGGAGGGTTTTGATGATCCAATAATTTGTCATTTCTATCTGCTTATAATTACAGAACCTTAAACATAAAGAGTGTGTACCCAAAAAACGGATAACAATTGAATTTATACGTAGTTCTAAGGATACGTGGTATAAATTGGTACAAATTGAGAAAAATAAGTAAATGAATATCGAAATTAGCTGTAAAAGAAAAGAATGCAAACCGAATGAATTAGTTAGCTCAAGCCTTCAAGTTTTATCTTCTCCAAATTAAATGGAGAGTAATTGATAGAAGAACAATATGATTAAATATCAAACCAGAAAAGGATGGTATTTGCTTTATGTTCTATAAATCTCAATGAATCTGACGTCCCTTCTACAAATGATAACAACCCTTAATATAGTGAGGAGATCCTATTTTGGATATAATTAAAAATACATAGTGGGGATCCCATGATAGATTAATTAATTAGTCTCTCCTTGATTTGCGCTGTGATTTTCGCCGAGATTCTCCCTCCAATTATTGCTATAACGGCTTTTTTGTTTCTTGGCTCGATCTCGATCTTGGCCGATCTCAATCTTGATCGATCTCTGGGTCTCGAGCTCAATCTTGGCCAATCTCGATATTGATAGGTCTCTGGGTCTCGAGCTCGGTCTTGGCCGATCTTGATATTGATCGGTCTCTGGGTCTCGAGCTCGGTCTTGGCCGATCTTGATATTGATCGATCTCTGGGACTCGAACTCGACAAAAGATATGACGTGACCCTTGACCAGATCCACCCTTCTTTTTGGAGAATAGTGATTCTCCTCTGATTCTTCTCAAGCAAAATCGAGGGGTGTCTTTTCACCCTCAATCACCTTATGCGCCTTTATAGTCCCCGACTCTATCAAGGAGGGCTAATCAAGTTTGCTCGCTGAGCTACCAAAGCACCGTTCTCGAGTATAGACGAGACTCGTGATCGAGGTTGGATGGGCCGATTTGTTCGAGTCAAAACCTCATACCTGATCCCTGCCGATGACATGCCGTTTCCTGAGAAATGGAATATGAACCGTGAGTACTTATTTTCCTTCGAGCGTTTTAATTTGTGACTGCCTTTCATTTTATTGATTTACTTTTTCTTTCAGGTTACATTTGTGGCTAGGATGTCAGAACCGATTCCGGAACATAAACAATGGGTTGAAGGTCCGGTGTTGCAGAGACCGTACTCCGAGAGTGCTTGGGTGGAATTATCAAAGGATGGATGTGAGANCCCCCCAATTTCCTTTGTAGGACTTGGGAAGGACGTTACCATGAGGCCCCCATATGGTGATGAAGACATATATGCCCCGAAGAGGATCAATCCGTGATGAATGCGGTAGGACCCGCTTTCCTTTTCAACGAGGCCCAACATGCTCTAAATCGGGTAACTTCGATGGTATCTCTGATGTTTCTTTTACACTTACAGTTGTAGATAATTCTAACATATTTTTCCTTGTTTGTAGGCTTCGGGTTACATCACGAGGATTTCCTCCGAATCCGGGAGGAGCACGAGGCTAAAGTTCGGAACCTCACTGAGAAGAGTGACTCATACACACTTCTTAGTGAGAAGCTTCGGGCAGATTTGGCAACGGCTCGGGATGAGCACGAGGAGATGGCTGAGCAGGTATTACGAATTCTTCACGATAGTGAAGATGAATTGGAAATAACCACTAATGATCCGATTCTGCAGGTTCGGCAGAGGCTCGAACAGATCGGACGGCTCAATTCGCAGGTAGATGAGTTACTGGCCGAGGCAGAAAAATTCAAAAAAAATATGGACATCCTCGCCTCGAAGAAGGAGGTTATTCAAGCGCAATTGGAGTTGGTTGAGGCCCAGCTTCGGGCTGCAAAAGAAAACGCCTCGGTACAGATCGAGAAGATTAATGAGCTTCAGTATCGGTTGGATTTGGCCACTTCTGATAAGGCAAGCTTGGCCGATGAACTCGAAGTGGCCAGATCCGAGGTGGCCGTAGCTAGATCTGAAGTGGTCGTAGCCAGATCTGAGGTGGCCGAGGCTAATAAAAGAGTTGATGCTAAAGTGACCCAGTTCAGGATCGATGTTGAGGTCAACCATGCCAAGGTCGAGAGCATGGTCGAACATGGTAAATGGCAGGCTCGAAGGGAAGCTCTCGAAGAGGTCAGTGCTCAGGGTTTCGATGTTGCTGCCGAAATTAAAAATGCTAAGGCGGAGGAAGCCAGGGCCCGAAGGCTGGCCTTCCTTGAGGAAGACTCTGATAGCTCGAGAGAATCTGAAGACTGAGAAAATTCCGAGGACGCAGCCTCCGATAAAGACCAAGCCACTTAGGACATTAAGTTTCTTGTTTTTCTTTTGTATTTTTTTCTAGGGCCAATTCGGCCTTTTGTAAAAAAAAAATTGAGTATAAATATAAGGGTTTTCTTGCCATTTTGGTTCTTGTGTTTTCCCTTTACTTTTCTGTATTTTACAAAGGTCGAAAATGCCTTAGCTTAAAATTGTGTTCGAGGGTTCGAACAAACCTTTTCCTTTATTTCTTTTCTGCCTTATAAAATTATGAAGTTGTATTCTAAGGTCCGAGGTTTAGACAATTTGATTGAAACTGAACTAGTATAGACCTTAGGCTTTACGATCGAGTGAGTGCTTGCTCGAACTCCAAGTAAGGTAACCCTTAGGTTTTTTATTTGAGTGAGGATGGTCTCTCGAAACCAAAGCAAAAAATATCCCTTAGGCTTTTGTAAAAAGATTGTTTATAGCTTTCTCCCCTTTTTGGCTTAAAAAGTTTTTTTTTATCATTTGTATTTGCAAAACTTGTAATGCCTTAGCATGAAATAAGGAATTGTTCGATATTTCAAATAATTTTGTATTCATTAGAGTTTTCGAGGCTTGATATTATCGAAGCCTTTTATGATTTTGCCGGGGGTAGCATTTTTAACCGGTTTATGAAAGGATTCGAAGGTCTGTTTTGTTATGGAATTTAGACGTCTCTGTCCCATGTTAATTCGGCCGTAGCCTCTTTCGTTCGGAATTTGCCCCTTGGGCTTATTTTCCCGTTTTACTTTGAGCTTGTCTGAAGTGTCAGTCCCCGAGTGTGGTGGCTGTGGCCTATAAAAATCGAGGGTTACCCAAAAGGTCTTATGAACTCAGAGTTTTAATAATTCGATCTCGTTTATTTTTCGGACGGCAGTCCCCGAGCATGTGGGTAATCATCCGAACTCTGGTCATGGTCGGCCCTTAAGCATGTTTACATAATAGATCTAGAGTATAAAATTATAAAGTAGAAATTTTTTTCTAAGGCACGAGATATCGGTAAAGATAAATGCTTCTCTTTATAAATGATTATACATACATATATGTTCTGTGCCGGGGCTCGAGCAAACTACGCGGGCATGGTTCGTTTGACGGTTTGGCCCTTACAAATTTTTCCTATCGAGACCCTGTTTCCATGAAGTAACTTCCTCGCATCAAAGTTGATATCCGAGGGCAAATGCCCCCTAGTATTCGAGGTTGATTGTAAAGAGGCCTCGGATACTATTGAATTATTCTAAGTTAGCACGATCAATGGTCGCCTCATTAAAAACTTTGCCGGAAAACCCATTTGGGACAAACTTGGTCTAAGAGAAAAAGAGTGCAATACGTGCTTTCAGACCTAAAGGCTTCGTGTGGAAGAATCAATCGTTGTTTCTAGCCGAACACCTGCAAGGGTTAGTTTAAAATATAAATGAAAATGGGAGGGGCCGTACCTTAGCAGTATTATTGTTTTAGGTGCGATACATTCCAATTGCTTGACAGTTATTCGCCATTTATCGTGCCGAGCTTGTAGGATCCTTTTTCGATAATTTCTAGAACCCGGTATGGTCCTTCCCAGTTCGGACCCAGCTTCCCTTCATTCGATTTTTGGGTATTGAGGTTGACTTTTCTTATCACCAAGTCCCCTTAAAATATCGAAGATTGGCTCTTCGATTGTAGTACCTTTCGATCCGTTATTTTTGGGTGGCCAATCGGACGAGAGCGGCTTCACGTCTTTTGTCCAACAATTCTAGGCTCGTATTCATGGTCTCGTTATTCGACTCTTCTGTTGCATATTGAAACCTGATGCTAGGTTCTCCGACCTCGACCGAGATCAGAGCTTCGGCGCCATAAACTAACGAGAATGGTGTTGCTCCAGTACTGGATTTCGATGTTATGTGGTATGCCCATAGAACCTCGGGTAGTATTTCTCTCCATTTTTCTTTGGCGTCGGTCAATCTCTTCTTAAGATTTTGGATGATGGTTTTGTTAGTCGATTCGGCTTGTCCGTTCTCGCTGGGATGATATAGGATCCTTTTGATCTTGTGATCCTCGAGAAATTTAGTTACTTTGCTGCCGATGAATTGTTTTCCATTATCACATACAATCTCGGAGGGCATCCCAAATCGACATATGATGTGGTCCCAAATGAAGTCTATGACTTCATTTTCTCTGACTTTTCCGAAAGCATATGCTTCAACCCATTTAGAGAAATAATCAGTCATAAATAAAATAAACTGAACCTTACCTGGGGCCGACGGGAGAGGGCCAACGATGTCCATTCCTCATTTCATGAAGGGCCATGGGGACAGAACCGAGTGAAGTAGTAACCTGAGTTGATGAATCATGAGCGCATGCCTTTGGCATTTGTCGCATTTCTGAATGAACTCCCTTGAATTCTTGCCCATA